AAATTGGAAGGGTAGATTAGCAAATGGCCCCTGCGCTTTCAAGGATGACACGCATAAATCGAGAAATGGTCCAACTTGGTTTTATTCAAAAAAAATAAAAAAAATAAATACTAATGTTTCTAGAGTCTGCACCTATCAAGTTAAGAACAGCAATGTTTAAAGATTCTTTACACACGGACAAATTCCACAGAATTGATAAAGTCAACAATGACGGCACAGTAGAAGCCTCAGAATGGTCTCTGGCCGGTGACAGACTAAGTCAGACTCGAGAAACCCAGCTAATTACTCTGCAGGGCGTGGAGGAGGTAAGAGTCCACCAGTCCAAGGATACACAGGGACATTCGGTCTTCCGAGTCATCATGGCAGCCATTCCTATTAAGGAGTGGAAGAATGATGTTTGTCGATATGGGTGGAAGGTCCCACAGGCCAAAGACTCCCTGGGCAATGTGCCCATCGGGGATTACTCTGCCCAGATTGGTTATTCCCTCTTCTCTGAGGCCCACTCTCTACAAGCAGGTCTCACTCTAAACTGGCAGCGCAGACTCTCGGCCCTTAATCTCCAACCGCTGTCCTCCAAATGGTTACTGTTCTTTATCCACATTATTGTTTCTTCTCTCGAGACCAAGGTAGGGGGTCTTCAATGGATGCATCTTCACTCATGTGTCCCGACTTCACTGTGGTGCTCGGAGAAAAGAATGGACATCTCCACGCTATGCGACGCATGCCTACATCCCTGCCTTGAAGACTGGCTACACCTGTGGTGGGAATGTGTGATTGCTAGAGGTTTCTGGGACAGTCTGAATCTGATGTGGGCAGAGGCATATGGCTCTATAAGCTTTTGGAACCAAGACTTTGTTATTACAGGAAGACTAAACCCTCACACCAGCAAGCAGCAGATTGGTACTGTGGCCCAGTCATTCAGATTAAGAGCATTTTGGTATATCTGGCTCGCCAGAAGGGATAGGCGTTTTCTTAAGACCAATTCCTCTGTTACTTCTTTACTGTCGCAGTTTAAGCATTCGATCAGACTAGACATTATGTCAGAATGGATTAAATTTAAACGCCAAGCTACTTCTATAGAGGCAGCCAGAGAACAGTTTCGAAAGAAATGGTCCACCCCATTTCGGTGGGCCGGTTTTACAGAAAAGAATAGCCTCTTCTATTCAGAGCTTTTGTGGGATTACCCTACCAGGTCTAGCTTACTAGATTCCTATCAGGCACTTTTCACTGAGAGGGTCAGGTATCCCCTCCACATCTGGTAATGCTACCTTAACTACCGTTCTTCTTGCTGGTACAGCAGGGAACTCCTAGTCGGTTTTTCTTCTCCTTCCAATTGTACCGGGTAGACTGTGGGGACCCCGGCCCCGAGGATTTTCTGAGATTATTTGATAAGGGACGCTGGGCCCGGTTCCCAGCAGGTGCTGCTCCCCACGAATAGAACGGAGCCAAATGTTAAAAAAAAATAAAAATAAAAATAAAAAATTGGAAGGGTAGATTAGCATGGCCCCTGCGCTTTCAAGGATGACACGCATAAATCGAGAAATGGTCCAAATTGGTTTTATTCAAAAAAAATAAAATACAAAAAAATCTAATGTTTCTAGACTCTTGCACCTATCAAGTTAAGAACAGCAATTTTATTTATTTATTTATTTATTTTTATTATTATTATTTTTTTACAATTTAAACTTATTTCTTAGTATCGTCTGAGACCATAGAGTGTTCTGGAACCAGTTGGACCGTTTGGGTCTGAGATACAGGGCCGAGGTCCCACCACCGACAAAGCGGACAGGATGAGGCTTCTGAATCTGGACGTGTTTTTATGCAGTGATGCAGAAAAGCAGCTCAATCTCGATTTCCTGCACCCCTCCCCCATCGCGTCCAGATTCGGGCATTCGGTCCGCCGGTAGCGGGGGGACCACGGCCCAGGTTCTACTGGGCCGAGGTCCCACTAGCAAAAAGGATAGGATCGAGCTCCGGAATCTGGATGCGTTTTATGCAGAGATGCAGGAAAGCAGTTCAATCTCGATTTCCTGCACATCTCGATGAACTCGTCCAGATTCAGCCATTCGATCCGATCCTCTTTGCTAGTGGGACCACTCCCTTGGTGTTATATGACGATGAGGCTTCGAGCACCACTCCCACTAGCAAAGAGGATTGGATTGAACACCTGAATCTGGACGTCTTTGTGGAAAGGTGCAGAATGTCGAGACTGAACTGCTTTTCCGCATCTCTGCTGAGCACACGTCCAGATTCAGGACATATATCCAACCCTCTTTGCTAGTGGGACCTCACCCCAGCAGCCGCAGCCACAGCAGGCCATGCTGGACTAACGGGAAGGACGTTCAGAAAAAAAAAAAAAAAAAAAAAAAAAGTCCGGGGGTAACGGAATTACATTTTTAGGAAGCAAGGGGGGAGGGGGGGAGGATGGATGGAATCGATCCCCCGACCGCTTGGAGCGGAAGTCAAACAGTGTGCACAGTACGTAGTCAGCTTCAGATCCCCCAAATACAACGGGGGGTCATTATAGCTGTATTTGGACTTAAAGATTGCCCAAATACAACGATAATGACCATCCGTTGTATTCGGGGGAAGAAGGTAGGTATCTCCCGGGGGGGGAGGGGGATGGGGAGGGGGGAGGGAAAAAAAAGGGGGTAGGGTTGGTAGGGATCGATCCGTCGACTAGCTGGAATAAAACGCAGATAGTGCATCGTCTGCTGCAAAAAAACGAAAAAAAAAAAAAAAAAAAAAAAAAAAAAA